ATAAAGCTGTAACTGCTTAAAGGTTGGATAGTTTTACTAGTATTATGCAGTAAAAATGAGAATGAAAAAAAATCCTTGAGTGACTTTTTGGAAATATGGACCGCACGTGGAATATTAGTTTCACTTTTTTTTCGTGCTTCGTAAACTTTGTTGCATACCCCTCTAAATTATGACCCCTGTGCTCTTTAGAGTCATAAGTACTCATACGTGTTTACAATAAAGAGTGAGAGTGAGGTTAGGGATCACTCACTAGCTACTCATGATTTCCGTGCCTCACAGCTGGGTCCTTTTTGGAAATGAGTTTTGTGAAGATAATCTCAGTAGTCATTTTTTGCTCAAGTACATGCACCTCAAGCTAATTACTACAAGCGCAGTCTGAATTGTGTAACCAGAACTTGGCTAAGAACAGGTACAGAGTAAAGAGATACTAGTAAAAAGAAGAAGTGCAATCTCATGGTCAAAAAAGGAGGAGAAAATGCAATATCATCCGCATCAGCAAGAACTTCTTGTTGTATTCTTGAATCAGCACCAGCAGCATCATGATCTTTTCTTCTTTCTACTAGTACTAGTATCACTGCCGAACTATCACCAGCATTTTGTATCACCACCACCAGCAGCTCTTCCTTGCCATCTATATCAGCAGCAGCTACTACTATGTCAGAAAAAGTAATTGCGACCTGCTGTAGGAAACCCACTAGTATGCTTGCAACCTTGTCAAATGCCCTGTTGCAACCCTAGTATTTTTACAGTCAAAATATACAATGAGTTTGCATCAAATGAGTATCCTACTATTATTACCCTTTTTAAATTTTTTTGGGGTTATTTTAACCCACTACTATGTTATGTTTCCAGACTGCTGTGTACACCATGTCAAATGATTACAACTGTGTTGAGAAAATTGTGTGGTAACCAAACATTTGTCAAACCTCTCCCCTGCTGTTGCTGAACCTGTTACAACTCAATTGTAGTTATTAGTAGTATTCTCAGAAGAGTAGCCCACAAGGAGCTGCAATGCCTCAGGAATGTGAGGTTTGTATTCAATTGTTTTGATAGATACTGGCACAGCAGAATTCCTCATATCTTCTTTACAGGGTTCTTTTGACAGAACTCCTTGAGGATCCCTTCACACAACTTCAAAAACATCTGTTTCTGATATTGCCCAACCCACTTTTCTTGTTCTACTCTCCTCTTCTTCACAAAATTTCTTCTTTCTTTTCTTTCCACTTGGGTCAACTTTTATTCTCTTCAAATTCCACCCACTGATTGTATTTGTCATTGTGCACCATTATATAATGGCAAAAGACTCATTGGAAATTATGAGCATGTTAGCTACTTAGCTAGCATTACAAGTACTACTACTACTAGAAGTACTTGCTCATGTAAGGAAGAGATAATACTCAGAAAAACATTTCAAATTTGAATATACTATTTCTATTTCCACTTCTGTTTCTAGTACTGTTACCAATTGTAGCACAACTACTAGATTACTAGCTAGTACCACTAGAATTCCATACTTGCACATAACTCATGCTGATAGAAGAGAAGGAGGATTCATTGTTACTGGTGGAGATAAGAATCATCATCCTGCCAAGCTGATTTTTCCCTTTTTCAGTGGTAGTCCTCAGCATGACTACTAGTAAGGGATTTTTTGAGTGTCAGATTGAACAAAATAGTAGTTAATCAAGTCCAAGCCAACATTTCATGGAATTGTTCTCCCACCATAAAACCACCAATTGTCATTTAAATTTAGTATATATGAGAGCGGTGTATGGGCTCTAGTAGGTTCATGTGCTGAAATTGCACCAATTCAGTGTTCTGATGGTTCTGTGTGTTGGGCATGGTGTCAGATTCACCTAAGTAGAAGTACTGGTGGTAAACCCAGTTGCATACCAGCATGATCATTTGATTGATTTGTTCTCTCACCTTAAAACCAATTGTTCTAGTATAAAATTAATATGTTTGAGAAGAGGCATGAACTGTATATTTCCAACAACAACAACAACAACAACAACAACAACAACAACAACAACAACAACAACAACAACAACAACAACAACAACAACAACAACAACAACAACAACA